TGGATAGCTCTATCAGTTCCAAACTGTTCTCCCTAGCTAGAGGTCCATTAAGTGGAATCCTTATTGACCCATGCAGTGTTAATATATTCCTTTTATTCCTTTTCGTGAAAAAGTATTAAGAATGCTCATTTATCATGCCTGTATTTTCCAGTATGTTACCAGATAAAGCAAGGTGTTGTCGCGATTATCGGACCGGCACGTTCTAATGTTGTCAAAGCGGTCAACTATATTTGTTCCGGCTTGAATCTACCTCAGATCGCGTTTGCAGCTAGCGACCACTCCCTGTTCCTCAGCTATCAACAATACCCATCCTTGCTACGTCTGAGTTCATCTGGAGATAGCCAGAGTGATGCGATTATGGCGGTGATGGAATATTTCAAATGGAATAAAGCAGTTATGATTACTTCCAGTGATGATTATGGTGCGTTAAGTAATAAGTAATATATACAGCATGACAAATAGCAACAACAGCAACAATTTATTCAGTACATAATTACAGTAATTATACACTATAAGAAAATTAAGTTTGAACGGCACTGGCTCCCGAAATAACTGAAAAGCTAAACGAGTCATGGAGCCATTGCAATAAAAAATATGAAATATTACTTATATTTATGTCTAGCAGACAGATGAGTATAACAATCATAAAATATATAGAGAATTTCTACCATAATAATGACCGGGCTATTTCATTTGATATCCGCCTCCCTCATCGAGAAACTTGGATTTGCTCAGGGATAAGGTGATTTTTAGCTTTAAAATTCTTCAGGTTAAGGTGATTTTTAGGTCTGGAATTCCTCTAAAACAAATTTTACTATGAAATTCTTTATGGGTTGGGTATTTTAAATGAGATTTCCTCACTGATTGAATGTAAAAACTTAAATTCGTCACTTGCTGAGTATGGATTAATTGTTATTTCACATTTAATATCTTCCAGGTTCGATGACCCTTCAACGTCTTCAACATGCATCCTTCGACCGCTCTACGATCGATATTGTCAAAACTGAATCATTCCCTGCCTTAGACGATCCCTCACTTATTGACTTTACACGTCCTCTGTCATCCCTGCGTGCCACCCAAGTACGCTTGGTGATCCTCAACTGTCCTGGTAAATATGCCAGACAGTTGCTGTATGTTGCTCATCGTCTCCGTATGTTGAGCAAGGACTGGGTCTGGATCGTCAGTGATGCCATAGCAATCCAGGTATGGCGTAGTTGCCTGGCAATTATGGTATGACGTAATAGTATGGCAACCAATATGTCATGTGGTGGCAACCTAGATGGACTTTCAGTAGTTCACATTTAGCAACATATTCACTCACAACAGTTCTGTACAACATCAGGTCACTTTAAGGTAGCCCCCATCCAAGAACATGTACTACCTCTGCATGATCTAACAATACTTAACTCAGCAGTGAGTTCTGTACAACATCAGGTCACTTTAAGGTAGCCCCCATCCAAGAACATGTACTACCTCTGCATGATCTAACAATACTTAACTCAGCAGTGAGTTCTGTACAACATCAGGTCACTTTAAGGTAGCCCCCATCCAAGAACATGTACTACCTCTGCATGATCTAACAATACTTAACTCAGCAGTGAGTTCTGTACAACATCGGATCACTTTAAGGTCGCCCACATTCAAGAACATGTACTACCTCTGTATGATTTAACCATGCTTTAAAAAAGACTTATCGGTACTCACATGAGTTCCATAGAGCAAAAACCACGTTCAAGAACATTTGCCGGGCATTCAAAGGTCTTTTGCTTTTTTTTTCCAGATGAATCTCTTCGATATAGCAACAGAACAACCTGATTACATAGTGGGCCTCCTCAGCGTTGTGCCTTCATCAACAAGAGCAAAGAATAGGGGGTCATTTGAAGCAAGGTTCTTGGCAAATGGTGGACAAAAGCCAGTGAATGTGAGAATGTGATATTGTTATTTGTCTTTGCCTGCAAGTAAAGTGGATAGCTCTATATATCTCTTTTCTGAACTGTTCTCCCTGTAAGAGGCATATTTTATATATTGATCCAGTATTACTACAGGAGGAAACCTAAACTAAACTAACTTTGTTTATGCTGGATTGTCTTCCATAGAGGTATAATAAGTTTATATATATGTCTAGTTTTATTACAGAAGGAAACCGAAATACCTGAAGAAAATATGTGGTGTTTGGTATAGAGCTACACAGGAAAGACTCTTCTCACATGTGACTGAAGTGAAATTATAGTCAGACAACTGTATATTGCAGAAATTGAACCGCGGTTACAGAAGTAAAATGCTGACTTTGAACAAAGCATGTTTTGGTGGTTTAAACAAGCCTTGCATTATATTGGTGTTTTGTTTTAGGTTTATGCTTACAAGGTCTACGATGCCGTATGGACCGTGGCGAAGGCTTTACACAACATGAAAGTCAATAACGAGACACTCGCAGCACCTAATGTAACGTGTATTCAGTGTGATCAAGACAATATAACAAAGTGGTCTGATGGCAGAACTTTGTTTGAAAGAATGAAG